GTTTGCCAAGAGATTATCCAAATTGCAGGTTGTTGCGAGGGATTTTTGGGCAACTGGATTCCAGTGAATTGAGCTGGGTTCGATCAAAAGGTATAATTTTAACCTAGTGGCTGGGTTCGATGGGTGTAGATCTGCCATGTTTAGGACTATTTGCTGGGTTACATACTTACATCGAACCCAGATCTGCTGGGTTCGGTGGAACCCAAGCTGAGTTCCATCGAACCCAACTCTATTTTTTTTTTGTTATATGTTTGTTTATCAAGAGATTATACAAATTACAGGTTGTTGTGAGTGATTTTTGAAATTTTTTTCTTCATATTTTTTAAATATTGTCTAAAAATTTCAGTCTTGAAAATGGAAAGAACATCATCCATGAAAAGAACAGAAGTAGTAATCAATGGGCAAAGAAGCAATTCTTAGTGGTGATGTGGGACCATTTGAATGGATTTGATGCTTTTTGGCCACGGTAGCATGACATGGCAAAAGTTTTTGTGCATAGCATCACTTTTTTAAATTTTGCTCTCCACGTCATCCAGAAAAATATAAAAAATGCCACATAAACAGAGTTAACTGCCCAAATTAACAGAAGGACTAATGAAGTGCATTTCGTATAGTTGAGGAATCAAAAAGGTGCAAAAAATTGTTGAGGGACCAAAAATGTGCAACTCACTAAAGTTAAGGGACCAAATTTAGCATTTAACCTTTTTAAAATTTTATACTTTTTATTACTTAATAAATTAAATAATATAATAACCAATTAAAATAAAAAAATATAATATTAATAATTAAAAATATAACAAAAATATCACCCGAATTACTCACCACGAAAATTAAAAATTAAATTTATCAATTCAGAACTCCAACATATATCATCAGCAAACCGAACCGAACCAAACCGAACCGAACCGACCCGACGGAACCCAACCACCCTCTCTTCCAAAATCAATCTCGTCAAAAAATCCTACTGCTCCTACACGGACGGGGCAGAAATTTGCGTTTATGGAATAAAATTTTAAAATTTTTTT